CTCATCTTGCATGGTTGTTTTCCACTCAGGTTTGGAAAGAGCCTTAGTAACATTCCTGAGTATAGACACAAAATCCAAGGAAGAAAGAAAAACACGATAGGAGGGTGATAAGGCATTGTAGAAAAGATGGTGTGAAATACAGTGGGTTGTACACTTTCTCTTCCCCTTACGAAGTGCAATGGGAAGATCAAGGTCAATGGGATCAACTGCAACAATGGTGTTAGGGACAGGAACATTATCATCAGAAAACATAACAGGCTCAAGCTCAAGAGGAATACCTGGAACTGTATCTACCGAATCTGGAGTTTCAAAAGGACTAATAGAGAGTGGTGCGGGTTAAGGATGTGTGGATTCAACCATCATCTTCCGGCGATGATATTTCTGTGAGGCTGCCCGTAGTGGTTCAGGTAATGAAAATGGAGGTGCAGGTGTTGGCTGAACTGATGGAGGCACCAAATGAACATGAAGAGGAACAGATTGTAAGTTCTCCTCCCCAAAACTCTCCCCTTAAGGAGAACCACTCAAGAAGAAGAAGGTGGATTCAAAGAAGGTAACATCCATAGTGATAAATTTGCTCCTCGACACTGGGTCATAACAGCAATACTCCTTTTGGTTCTGAGAATACCCAAGAAAAACACATTTCTTGGCCTTAGGATCCAATTTCTTGCGACGAGGGCCAAGAATGTGAACAAAGGAAACATAGCCAAAAACCTTTAGAGGTATATGAAATATCTCCCCATCTGGAAAAAGAAGACTAAATGGCACTTAAACCCCAAAGTCCGTGAAGAAACACGGTTAATCAAATGCACAGCTGTAAGAACTACATCTCCCCAGAACTGCACAGGAACTAAAGCACACACCATAAGACTCCTTGTCACCTCCACAATGTGTTTGTTTTTCCTCTCAGCAACTCCATTCTGTTGCGGTGTATATGCACAATTGCTCTAATAAACTACACCATGTTCTAAGAGATACGTGATCAGGTCCTCTCAAAATACTCTCTTGCATTATCTGATCTAAAAGCCTTAGTTCTCACTCCAAATTGTGTGAGAACCATCTGGTGGAACTATTATACCAAGTTAAGAACCTCATCACATGATCTCATCAAATATATCCAAGAATATCGTGTACAATCATCCACAAATAAGAGAAAGTAACGGAATCCTCCCATGGAAGGGATATGATATGCCCCCCCCATACATCAATGTGAACAATATTAAAAGAAGAAGTACTTCTTTTATTACTTGGTTTAAAAGACTGTCTACAATGCTTTCCTAACTGACAACTCTCACACTCAAGTAGATAACTGAACAGACTCAAACAACTTTGGGAAAAGACATTTCAAAGAACTAAAAGAAAGATGTACCAAGCGATTGTGCCAAAGCATAATCTGGTTAACTGACTCTGACCCACTACTACTGTTGCTACTAACATGATGGCCCTGATGTCTCGGAAACTCATCCAGAAGGTAGACTCCATTCACCTCACGACCACTCCTAATCATATTCTTTTGACTCCAGATCCTACAAAACACAATTACCAGGAAGAAAGGTCACGGAACAATTCAATTTTTTTGTCAAAGAACTATCAAACAGTAGGTTGGTATGAAGTCTAGGGACATGTAAAACAGAAGACAGAGTTATATCATTGGTCACTCTAACTATTCCCTTCCTAGCAATGGGCATATGTGAACCATCTGCTGTAGAGACTCAGTCTCTACCAGAGTACAACTGATAGGAACTAAAAAGGGTAGGGGCATTAGTCATGTGCTCAGATTCTCCTGAGTCTAAAATCCAGGGAGGTCCCTCCTTACCTGAAGTGGATGCAAGATTTGCAGTTGCATATGAACTACCTGTATGTGCAAAAGAAGTGTAGTTGGCTTCTACATTCTGCTGTCCATCTGGAAGGCTAGAGCTAGGTGAATCTTTCTTACTCATAAGCTGTCTAAACCTCTCCAATTTTGTTCTCACTATTGCTACTGCAATGGATTCCCAATCAGTTTGGGAAAGAGGGGCTGAATAGTCTCCTATAGTGGCTACATTTGCAGTTTTTTTTATCAATGCTACATTTGCATTTCCCTTCTTGTTTCTTATCCGAGCAGGCATAAGATTTGGATGAAGCTTCCAACAAGTGTCCCTGGTATCCTTAGGCTTCTTGCAATAATCACACACCAAGTCCTTATTATCTTCCCTTCTAGTGTCACTACTCCCCCTGTCTCCATTCGGCTTAGGTTTTGTTGTACCAACCATAGCTGACTGGTCAATCCCAAGCTGTCACAGCATTACATTCCTCCTACTCTCCTCTCCAGAGACAAAGGCATAGGCCTGAGAGAGTGTCACACCCTCCCTAGATAGAATATGCTGCCTAGCAATGTCAAATTCAAGGTTCAGCCCTGCCAAGAACTCAAAAACCCTATTCCTCTATACCAATTTGTGATAAGTTGTTGCATCATTTACACTTTCCCATACCACAGTTTCTAAGTGATCTATTTCCTGCCATAGGGTTTTCAGCATAGAGAAATACATAGCAAGAGGTTTTTCTCCCTGTTTCATACTTACCACCCGATTTCTTAATTGATAGGCTCTGGCTTGATTTTGC